TCCCAAATAAAGAAAAATCATAGCCAGGCGGTGGTGGTGCATGTCTATAATTTCAGCACTCAGGAGGCAGAGGTAGGCAGATCACTGAGTTCAAGGCCAGCCTGGTGTACTTAGTTCAGGACAGCCAGGGCTACACATAGAAACCCTGTCTCAAAATAAATAAATAAATAAATAAATAAATAAATAAATAAATAAATAAAAAAAAGCAACAACAACCAAAAATTAAATCACTGCCCAAGGTTGTATACTAATAAAATCGTAAGACAAAATTTTAATTGAGTCAGGAATGAGTCTTCCCCAGAATTCAGGTTCTGTCTGAGAATACATCTGTTCTTCTAGGAAAATTCTCTTAAAGCTTATTTTGAACTCATTTTAATAACTCTTGATAATTCTGAATACTAGCAAATTATGTTAAGCAGCAGTCTTTCTTGAAAAACAATGAATCAAAATCCCCTTCTACATACATTCATGTGTCAATTTACTAGTATGGTTTAAACATGAAATGTCTCCCATCGCCTTCTGGGTTTAATAGTTCTCAGCTGGTGGTGCCATTTGGGGAGATTGTAAAACTTTAGGAGGTGGGGCCTCACTGGGTGCTGCCTTGAAGAGGCGATCTGATCTGCTTCCCAGCTCGCTGCCCTGTCCATCATAAGGTGAAGAAGTTCCTTTACCACATACTTCTGCTGACATGATATTCTGTCTAGAATGTTGGCCAAGCAAGCATGGACCAAACCCTCCAAAACTGAACCGAAAGAAGTTCTTTGCAGTGATATTTTGTTTGTAATCTAACAAAATTTGCCTGAAGGTCAGAGTGCAGAGATAGCCATAGAGGTCAGGCAGTGGTGGCACGTACCTTTAATCCCACCACTCAGGAGACAGAGGCAGATGGTTCTCTGTGCTACACAAGATTGAATCTGTCTAAAGGAGGAACAGAGTTCACACAAAGGTGGTCCCAGCACTAGGGAGTGGAGTCAGGAGTGATATGATGGTGGTGAGAGGAATATAAAGTGGGAGGAGACAGGCGCTCAGATGCAGGATGTAGTTTCAGGTTTCGTGGAGACAAAATCGACTTTTTGATTTGAGGTAGAGATAAGAGCTAGTGGCTGGCTATTCTGCTTCTCTGATCTTCAGCAAGCTTTATTTGCTTCTTTTTTTTTACTTTATTTTATGTGCATTGGTGTTTTGTGTGCCTTCATGTCTGTGTAAGGGTGTTAGATCCTTGGAACCGGAGTTATGGACAGTTGTGAACTGCCATATGGGTGCTGGGAATTGAACCTGGGTCCTCTAGAAGAGCAGTTAGTGTTCTCAACCACTGGGTCATCTCTCCAGCCCGCAAGCTTTATATGTTAGATTACAAACAAAATATCACTACAGTTCTTCCCCTGCTGAGTCCTTTATGTCAGATACCTAGTCATAGCCATGCTAAGGTACATTCCCTAAGCGCACTGTGTTAGCTGCTCAAGATTCAGATAGGACTCTGGTCCTTGCCTAAGCAGTTTTTGTAGATTATTTTACATACATTTATTGCTTATTTTATGTGTGTTATTTATCTATTTGCAGCACTATGGATTAAAGTCAGGGCTTCTCGCATACTAGGAAAGCACTCTTATCACTGAGCTACATTTCCATCCCTCTTTTTACTTTTGATTTTAAGACAGGATTGCTGTGGGATGATGCTCTTGTGCACTGTCAAGATTTGTCACCAATATTAATTAAATAAAATGTTGATTGGCCAGTAGCCAGGCAGGAAGTATAGGTGGGGGTGACCAAACTAAAAGAATTCTGGGAAAAGAAAAGGCAGAAAGTTGGTCAACACCCAGACAGAGGAAGCAAGATGAGATGCCTCACAGAGAAAAGGTACTAAGCTACATGGCTAAACATAGACAAGAATTATGGGTTAATTTAAGTTGTAAGAGCTAGTTAATAACCTAAGATAATAGGCCAAACATATTATAATTAATATAAGCCTCTGTGTGTTTCTTTGGGACTGAATGGTTGTAGGACCGGGTTGGACAGATCCTTCTACACAGGATCCCACTAAACTTCCCAGGCTAACTTTGAACTCACTCTGTAGACCAGGTTGACTTTGAACTTTTAGTTTTCCTGCCTTAGCTTCTTAAGTAGCTACAGCAATGGGCCTGCACCACTAGGCCTGGCTAGTCATTTAAAGACCAAAACATTCTTTCTGAAAGATTCCAATGGATATTGTAATTATTTATCCAGGTCCACCACATTATAATCTCCTGTTTGGGGAAGTTGATTTACTTTTTGTTGTTGTTTTAATTGATTGATTGATTGATTGATTTTTATATCCCAACTGCAGTTTCCCCTCTCTCTTCTCCTCCTAGGTCCCCTATCCCTCTGCCCGCTCCCATCCAGTTCTCCATTTCTGTTCAGAAAGGGGCAGGCCTCCTATGGACATCAAAAAAGCATGGTATATCAAGTTGCAGGAAGACTAAGCTTCTCCCCTTGTATTAAGGCTAGGCAAGGCAACCCAGTATAAGAATTAAGGTTGCAAAAGCCAGGAAGAGTCAGAGACAGCCCCTGCTCCCACTGTTAGGAGTCTCATTAGAAGACCAAGCTACACATATATGTACCAAGCTGTTCCATATATGCAGAGGGCCTAGGCTAGACCTGTACATGCTCCCTGGTTGTCAATTCAGTCTCTGTGAGCCCCTATGAGCCCAGGATAGTTGGCTCTGAGGGTTTTATTGTGGTGTCTTTGACCCCTCTGGCTACTACAATCCTTCTTTCCTTTCTTGAGCAGGATTCCCTGAACTCAGCCTAATGTCTGGCTGTGGGGCTCTGTCTCTGTGGGGCTCTGTCTCTGTTTCAGTCAGTTGCTGGATAAAGCCTGTCTGATGACCACTGGGCTAGGCACCGGTGGAAGGACATCTAATCTTAGAATTCTGCAGGGTCTTGGCTTTAAGTCCTTGGACAGCACATATGAAGGCTCGTACCAGAAAGCATTCTGAGATGTTTCTAGGCTTGCTGTGATCTGATATATCACCTCTACATTGATATGCTGAAAACCCAGCTTCCAAGCACATAGGATTGCCTTAAAGAAGCAATTAATCATGAAGATTTCATTTCATGATTGAGATTAGTGCCCTTACAAATGAGACCCCTCAAGGAGCCTGGGAGCATCTTGTGCCATGTGAAGCTTCACTGAGATGATGTTCTCTGAGCAGAGCTTCACCAGACCCTGAGTCTGCAGAGCCTTAATCCTGAATTTTCCAGCTTCCAGACAGCTGAGAAATGAACTCCTGTTGCTCAGAAGACAGCCGTATTACATCATCTTGTGCATTCTTCCTCGCATGCTGTCTCCTCAGTGTCTGTATGTGTGCTATTTTTAGAATTTTAAGGTGGGGTATCTTAGGCCTGTTTTCCCAGGTGCTCAGCACACTCAATCATATTAATTCAGGCTTCTTTAGTTAGAAAACTTTCCCGATCTCCTTTAGGAAACAGAGGTCCTCTCCCTCGCCCACAAGCTCTGCTTTATCTTGAGTATAGGACCCACCACACTGGACATACTGGATACAGAAAATGGGCTTGCTCTTCCAGAATGAGGGGTTAGAACTGTCTGGGGTCCAGGTGAATAAACTAGTTGTAACTGGAAGTAAAAGAAACATTCGCTGGGGAAGATCAAGATTCTGGGTGTAATAATTCCTGCTCTTCTACCTGACTGCCAGGGAGAGCATTTTTCCGACTACCCACCCACAAGGCATCGTTTTCTACATCAACATTCTTCATCAGGCTCCTCTGCTCCTAACTCCAGAGTAGAAAGAGAAAGGAGGAACACACAGCTGAGTAGGTGTGGGTGGGAAAAACAATGCCTAGGTCAGTTAGAAGGAGATGCTGTTACCTGTGGTCAGAAAATAGACAAGTATAAGTATGAGCGACTGAGGGATACGTGGGTCTTAAAAAATGCTCAGGGGCGGGGGACAGGGAAATGCCTGCGAAGATGTCATTGTAGTCCTTGGAGAGTCCTGTGGGAGGATCCCTTGAGTGCAGGAAAAGAACAAAATAAAAACCCAAGTAGTCTCTGAAAAACAACAACAGCAATCCCCTGGGAGAGGTGCTGAAATGTGCTCCGCTATGCGGTGCAGCTAGGTCCCTGGAGAAAGGGATTCTACTTAGCACATGAGGAGGAAAGGCAGTGGGACAGGGGTAAGGCCATGGGAAGGTGGCAGCACCCTGTCCCCCCACACACACTTGGCAGTTGTGTCTCCTTTGCCAGAAAACCATCAATCTACTGGACCTTGTCAGGGCCAGACTAAGCATGTGGCGCCCAGAAAATTACAAGCCCTGAACAACCACATTCTTTCACGCCATCGGCTTCTTTCTCAAGACTTGATCCTGACATTTCCTTCTAGAACATCCATGGCTAGGGCGCCGCTGTCCTATTGCCTCATGGGCAGTCCTGGCGGGCGGAGGAGGGTCAGTCCCTCCCACACCAGCGAACCTGAGAGGGGCACCGGCTGCTTTTCCGGCATCACGTTAGTCACCCTGCACCTCACAAGACTCTTGCGAGTTCCTGGCTGGGTTTGGAACTAAAACTATTTCCAGAGGCTTTGAAATAGCTTCGTAGGCTACACAAAACTGCATCTGCGACAAGGCCATCAAGGCACAGACATTACGCTAAACTCTTGAAAACAATCTGGGGAAGGCTCTCACTGCTCCTCGCTCAGCGCGCGGTGGAAGATGCTGTGGGACGCGATGTGACAGTCCCCGGCTCTCCAGCCCCAACCAGGCCCGTGGGATCGAAACGAGTCCAGCACAGCGGAGGGTGGACGTGGACCAGCCGCGCCCCACGCAGGCGCGGGAGCACAGAGGACGTGGCAGGGCGTGGCCCTGCTAGGGGGCGTGGCCGGACTTGAGATTTAGGGACGTGGCCGTGGTGGGAGGCGTGGGTCCCGCAAGGATAGGACCGTAGTTAGGGGTGCGGCTTAGTGGCTGGGACAAGGCTGAGCTTGCAGAGCATCGTAGCTGGGGGCGGGGCCTTGGTGGGTGTGCGGCCTTAGCAGGGGCGTGGCGTGGCGGGGCAGGGTCGGGCTGGGCTGGCCAGGGCGTTTCCGTTGCACAGAGCCGCGGAGTACTGCCCTGTCCCTCGCGTGTGCATCGGTCCCCTCCTCGTCCGCAGTCTGCGCTCTACCGACCTGGTGAGTGGCCGTGGTCCCGGGAGCGACTCCTCCACCGAGGGCGTGGGGGGACGAGGGGCCCTTTCTGGGGAAGGAGACCAGGGCTCCTGTGACCTTCTCTCTCTCTCTCCCCGCAGCTCCGGCTCGCTCCTGACCGACAGCATCATGGCCCAGGTAAGCCGTGCGCCAGCTATGGGGGCGATCGGGACCCTCTCCAGAAACAGTAGAGTTCGGGGAGATGAAGCTGCTTTCGGAGTCTCTTGGTCTCCGCTCTCCCCTTCCATGGTCTGCTCTGTGCCCTCTCCGTGACCTCTTGGTGTCCCCCTCTGTATCCTCCCTCGCCCTGGAGAGTCCAGAACCAGCTGGTGTGTACATGTGAATCGGGGCGCCCCAAATCCAGAGTTGCCAAAATTAGAACCCGAGCAGAAACAGTTCTCTTGGTCATGTGAGGCGAACGCCCTTTTGGCTTCCCTTATTTTTTTTTTTTTTAATTTTTTCCCGCAGTTTCCTGTGTTTGAATACTGGGTGTGCGCGGGCGGTTTCCATGGTGTTTCAAGGGCGCTTAGTCCAGCACTCCGAGCAGTTTGTTTAAAAAGAACGGACTGTTCAGCAGCCCTGCTCCCGCCCCTTCCTCCGCTAAAGGCACTGAACCAAAGTAATGAACTCGCGAAACGAGTTGTGAATTGAATTTGCCTTGGGACTCTTTCAGAAGTTGATTACCTAATAGGTGTTTGTTGTTGATACTGTTTTTTTAAATCTCTAAGTATTTGTTAAGACTGTACCAAAGAAAAGCTACTTTATATAGGAATTTGCTTTTTGTTTTGTTGTTTTTCAAGACGGAGTTTCTCTGTGTAACCCTGGTTGTCCTAGAACTGGCGCCTCCTAATCAGGCTGGCCTCGAACTCAGAGAGAGAGAGAGAGAGAGAGAGAGAGAGAGAGAGAGAGAGAGAGAGAGAGAGAGAGATCTGCCTGCCTCTGCCGCGGATTTAAAGTTTGTGTCAACACTGCCTGTCTCTATGGATAGCTAGTGTGGGTAATTTTAAAAGTTGATCATATAAAAACTTGATCATATCATTCCTAAAATATTCCACCCACGAGGCCTGTGTGGCTACACATCATGGGAGGTGGAGGCAGGGGGATTGGGAGTTAAAGGTCATCTTTGGTCATCAAGGGCCTTGGCTATAGGAAATTGTCTCAAAAACCTAAAGAAGGAAACGTTTCCATCCCTAAACTAATTTCACACTTCTTGCCAAACTGACTGACTGGCTTATCAGAGTCCCAACAGTCTTTAGCTGACGCAAACATTGCTCCTGCACATACACACGCTCTCCCATTAGTTCGGTAGTCAGGTTGCTTCAGTACAGTGGATATGATTTCCTGGCCCGTTCCAAGAGAAAACGGAGGGATTAAGACTTCCCTAGTTCTCTCATGTTTCCTCAAGGGGACTGTGGGTTTAGGTCTTCAGCATCAAGTGTGTTTTTGTGGGATTAGCTTTACTTCTCGAATCGCGGTTCTCTTCGTGTGCTGGTGTGTGACAGACATGGTAGTTTGCAAGCCTCTCAGAGAAGCTTCCTCTGTCCTTGCTGACTTGGCTTATTCTTCAAATCTCTCGTAAATTTCCCAATGATTCTCAAGTGTTTTTGTTTGGACAAGGTCCGCATGTGTAGCCCAGGCTGGAGTAGAGCTTGCGTGCACTCTAAGGGTGGGCTTCCCTTTTTCTGAGATCCCTTTGCTTCAGCCTCCCAAGTGTGGACATGACAAGTATGGGCCACCACAGCCCCCTTGAAGTTTCTCAATCAATTCTTTTCCGTTATACCCACTCTATATCCAGGGTAGTATTGGAAACATTGTTATATGTTGAACTTTCTGCAGCTTCGTCAGGAATCTGTGGAGACCAAAGAAGTAAACCATTCTGTTAAGAACATTTCAGATTAGAACAGTGTTTGATATTTTACATTTGCATTTGATAATGATCAGAACGTCCACACTGTACAGCTGCTGTCTCCCCTCTCCCTAGTGGTTTTGGGGACCAGCTCTCAAAGGGCTCACTCAGGCCCTTTACTTACTAAGTAGCTGAGGATGACTTTGAACTCCTGGTTCTCCTGCCTCTCCCTCCCGAGTGCTGGGATTTCAGGTTTGCACCAGCATGCCGGCTCTAACTGCGCTCCGCTGTCTAAATCTTTTGGGCTCTGGTGTCGCTGGAGGAAAGCTGCAGCTTCTCATTAGGTTTCACTGAGTTTCTATGGAAGGACTTTTGTTGACCTAAGGAGATAGGAACCAGAGACTTCCACTCCATGACATCTGGAGAGCAGTGGGATCAGATTTCTATCTTAGGGGTGTGTACTTCAGCAATTAAAAATTCATTGTTTATACATTAGTGTCTCTTGCTTATTGAAAACTTGAAGTGTAGCTTCCCACATAGTAATTCTTCATATTTATGGACATGAAATACATACTTATATATGAATAATCTCCCTTTATTTGTGTTGGGAATGCACCATTTATGAAAGTGGAGAAATCCAGAACCACCATGTTTAACCATGGTGGTTTAGCCATGTTTAGGTAGAACACGAGTATGACCATCTAGCTAAGAATTGACTACAAAGAAGTGGCTGATCTCTGGTGGTACCGCGGATTTCCATTCCTCCCCTTCATAGCCATTCCCCTTCCCTTCCCCACTCTTTCCTCTTTGTCCCTTATATACATATTGTTGTATTTTTCAGTTATGTATTTTACTTTTTGTTAGACAAATTTCTTCAACAAGTTCATGACTGTAAACGGTGCATTCTGATTTCTCTTGCCTTGCTTCTAGTTCCCTCCCAGGTCCTTCCCAGCTCTCCCAACCCCACCTCCTCTCTACAGGTTTTATTCTCCCCACATTCTTGTCTTTTTGTCTTGTTTTGTCAACCAGTGAATTAAACCAGGGCTGCCTGTGTGGTCCTGAGTTTGTAACAGCCCATGGAGCCTGGGGGGCTCACCACGGTCATTTCCTTTTTCAGTTACATTTTACCTTAAGCCCATGAGAACAGGGACTAGAACTGAAGCAGACGATCACACTGAAAGGTGTGTAATTTGTATTAGCGTGCTTGGCAAATACACTCAGAGCTGAAAGAATCCAGAGTAACACGTGACCCACTTCTTCATTGCTCCTATTCCTGGTCCCTGAGCGTCACTGGACTGACTGACAGAGGAGATAGTTTAGTGATGGCTTTCTTAGTCTTCCTCAAAGAACACACTGTGGCTAATTGTATCTTCTATGATGCCTAGGGAAAGTTTAAATTACAAATAAACTCTCATGTACCTGTAAGCAGTTAGTGGACACTAGTTATTTCTAAATGTGTGCTTATGAGTTATATGATATGAACCACAATGCCCCCTTATTTTAGCATCACAGTGTGAGTCACGATTTACTATGGTTTCTGGATTAGTAGTAACATTTTCTACTATAGTAAATTTAAATGCCAACTCATTCAAATTATTCATTAAGAATTAACAAAGGGGAGTGGAGGGAGGGGGAGGGAAAAGGGAGGCGAGGAGGAGGTGGAAATTTTTAATAAAAAAAATAATAAAAGAATTAATAACACTGCCAGTGTTGTCTGAATGATCTTTATATAGTAAAATATGTATGAGTCATTATATCTTTTTCTACATTTAAATTCTTATATAAATGTAATTTTTTCTTTACATCTTAGTATGTTTCTTCAGTTAGACTTAATATATATTAGGCTAGATTTTATTAGGCTAGATTTTAAAAATTGGGTTTTAGAGCTTTTTTTTTTCTTAAATTTTATGCTGTTGTCTTAGTTAGGGTTACTATTGCTGTGATGAAACACCATGACCAAAAACAACTTGGGGAGGAAAGGGTTTATTTCGCTTTCAGGTTTGTTTGTTTTTTTCTGGTTTGAGTAAGGGCAGGAGCTCACACAGGGCAGGAACCTGGAGTCAGGAGCTGGTGCAGAGGCCATGGAGCACTGTTGCCTACTGGCTTGCTCAGCGTGGCTTGCTCAGTCTGATTTTTTTTATTGAACCCAGGACTGTCAACCCGGGGTTGGAAGCACCTACAATGGGCTGGGCCCTCCCACATCAGTCACTAATTAAGAAAATGTGCTACAGCCTTGCCTACAGCCTCATCTTTTGGAGGAATTTTCTCAGTTGAAGTTCCCTTCTCTGCAGTGACCTTAGCTTCTGTCAAGTTGACATAAAACTAGCCAGCACAACTGACCCCTGTCAGCTTGACACACAAACACATCACTGCTAAGCTACAACCTTCCCTTTCTTGTTCATCCCCAAGACCACACATAAATATCAACATATATGTATACAATATATACATTCTAAATTTTAAAAAATCTGACAGTCTTTAAAAATTTGTTCTCTTTAAAAATACTAAGCCTTCCTGGTGTTGGTGGCACATGCCATTAGTTTCTGGCACTCAGGAGGGGGAGGCTGAGGCAGAACGATCTCTGTGAGTTTGAGGCCAACCCGGTCTACAGAGTACATTCCAGGACAGCCAAGGTTACACAGAGAAACCCTGTCTGGAAGTGCCCCTCAGAAAAGTCACCTCCCCCAAAAAAGCAACAACAAAAAAATGCAACTCAATCTCTTTTAAAAAGCCAAAGTCTGCAAAACTTCAAAATCTCTTTAAAAGTTCAAGGTCTCTCCATTGTGGGATCATCTAAAAATCAAAAATAAGTTAAATACTGTCTTACTTTGAGAAGGAAGAAAAGGGTGCAGGCAAAGTGAAACCAAACTCCAAAAGCATAAGTAACTCATGCCCGATGTGTCTGGATCCACTCAGGATCTTCTGAGATCCTCCCAAGGGTGTGGTCACTTCCTCGGCACACACAACTTGTCTTCCAGTTCTGCCTGGCTCCACTCCACTTCTGCTGCTGTTGTCCCATGGTACTGGCTTCTCCAAAAATGATGGAGTCCCTGCTGTAGCTGAGCTGCACTTTCACCAGTAGCCTTCCCTGGGCTCTCAACAGGGCTCCAACCCTGCCGCACAGTGCCAAGTCTCAGCTGCTTTCCATGACCCCTTCTTCATGCCTTCAAAACCAGTACCTCTTGGAGGACTCTTATATCACCAAGTTCAGCTGCCAGCGTAAGATACAACCTTGGCCACCTCTGGACCGCAGTTTCTGTGTGCTGACCCTAAGGAAACACTTCTACACTGC